GGAGAAGCCGTGTAGAAACCGATGCCCTCAGGCCAAGGACAGGAGTGACCTGGTGCTAGGCGGGTCTCAGGGCAACTGAACACCAATGCCGAGCCAGGAGCAGAGCAGAAGCAGGAAGTAAATAGGCTACACAACAAGACACACTGGAAAGACATGAATAATCACAGGGACCTAGGGACAGGAGAGAAGTAGAGTGTTCTCTAGGTGTACTGGGCGTGAAGGTTGTAATTTCAGTTTAATTAACTTTATTAGTTAATTTAATTATATTCAATATGGCCACTGAACCCAGACTTTGTGAACATAAAGCCAGTGGTAGTTTCTGTAGATGCTGTACAGTAGCTGTGATGCGGCCTTTCTTTTGGCAGTGTGGATGAACACGGCTGATTTTTATTAATCCGATCAACACGCTAGAGTACATGACAGGTTTATTGCACAGGCGTTACACTTGAGCCTCTGTCAGTCATTGTGGACATATTTGCCTTAATAAACTCAGAGGAAAAAAACAAAAACTGTAACTTAAAATGGAAAAAAAATAGTATTTTCGTCTTTTAAGATCATTCTTTTTTTTGCATTTTTAGTTACAGTTTTTGTATTGGTCTGCACAGTTTCATCAGACTTCTGTTGAAAACTTACTGTTCTGTTGAAGACTTACTGTTCAAAAAGTAAATCTGTTTTAAAAGGTAATGGAAAATAAGTTAGGTTCTTGGAGAACTGTGCACTGATAAACTCAATTGAGTGTATATAGTGAAAAGATTTTCACTTTTTTAAAATTAAATCGCCATAATGCAGTCAAATGATCGCATGCAACTTAATACAATTTTGAAATCCAGAAAATGCTGCAAGCCCTGAGAAATACAGAAGTCTGATGAATCTCCTGAAGTTGCAGCTCTATTCATGGTCCTCATTTAAGATTGGTCAGGGTAGCTAAATATTCTCAGTTATGCTCTAAGGGGATGTTCAGTATGTGCTCATTTCACAAGCTGCTAATGCATTTGGCACTGGAGTATAGATGAGCAAAAACACATTTAACAGGGTAATATGAGTGTTGTGCTTCTCCTAACTGCAATAGCACTGTGGGATCAGAAAGAATTAAAACATGCTTTTTTGCAAAAGCGTTTATAGTTAACAGATCTGCTTTAAAAAGTCTCACAGTGAAGCTGAATGTCGCTTAATGAGCACGGTCTACACTTGGCTCTGAAGAAGGGCGGCACTGTAGAGTATTTTGAAATAACCATGTGATAAAATTAAACTAGACTTGTTTACATCTCACTTCTATGTTCCTGTGAAAGAAGAAAAAGAAGAGGTTGTTTGTCTCACGTTAAGCTGATCTATTTGCGGGCTTTAAGATCTTCTTTCTCAGACTTGAAGCTGCTGTCTAGTTCCAAAAAAAGTTTTTTAGGATTTATGTTGTAAAATGGACCAACACTGTATTTCCCAGTACCCTGGCATGCTTTCTAGCCTGGGAGCAGAAACAAAGGGTGGATTTAAAAAAACATGATATACTATTTGTAGATAAGGAATCTGGCAGAACTCTTGTTTGTTAAATGCTGCAATATATTCCACTTAATTCTCCAGGTCACAGTTTCTAAATTGATCTGAGCATGTGATTGGAGGAACATAGAACTCCCTGCGTTGCTGTATGGCATTGCAGCGTACTGTATGCATTATTATTGAACAGGTGAAGGTGAATTATATGCTGAAAAATAGGGAAATGCAGCATTTTGGGCTGGAGCGCCTGCTCTGGGTGTGAGGGGGTCTTGTTAGAGAAATGTGCTCTGAGGCAGATCCTGCGTTAAAAAAATGCTGGATGATGTCAGCCTGGGTCCATGGGGCATCCACTGTCTCGCGGACTGGGACAAAACTGGGGCCACTGCTGAGCAGGGGCCTCTCATCCTGTGAAAGGGGAAGTTGAGAGGGTATTGCAAGAAGATTAGTGTTGTTTTGACTGAGTTGTTTTTTGTCCTTACCTGTCCTGAGGAACAGAGCTTGGACAGGAGAGCCCTGACAAGGCTGGTAATAAAAGGAAGATGTTGTGGAGCTGCTTGCGGTACAAAGCTCTTGGCTTCTCCGATGGGACAGTCGGTGTGTGGGAGCTAAAGGAGGGATAACAGTCTTTTCAGCCTGGAAGTAACCTTAACATGCTCCTGCGCTGCCAACACAAGTATGACGCAGATCTCCGCTCGTACGTCTTGTAACTGTTTTCGTTCTGTGGGCTTTTATCCAGAGTAACTTACATTTTAGTTGGGTATGTAAGTTGCACAAAGACAAGGAGGTACCTTGCTCATGGATACAACATCAGCTTTCCTAGCTGGGACCTGAATCCACAACCTTGTGATTATAAACCCACAGTCCTACCTCCTCACTTCCAGATTCTTTCATCTGGAATTTCCTGGCATGGCCTAATGTTTGTTTTTAGCTCTCTTTTCATTAGTCATACAAAGATAAATACTGATCTCACTGTCAGCCTAACACCTGCAGTTTTTAGCAGAACTAATGATGTCAACAGAGAATACAGTGGAAACCCACCTTTCTTTGTAAAAGCTGTAGTTGTAGAGATAATACATATCGGAACCTTCAAATGTAGGTAAGAAATGCTCTTATGAGTTTAGCTCATTATCAGACTGTCTGGACTAAGAATCAAGTTTGTTTTCCCTTTCATCCCCTCAGATCATCTTTTCATGATCACTGTAGTAACTTTTGTACTTGCAGTGGAGAGATCAAGACCATACAGTATGTGTGTCATCTTGGGGGTGTAGTTGTCAGAGCACGTGCTTCCTGAGAGCATTGTGAGCCCCGAGCGCCACTGAGACAGCTAAAGGGTTGAAGCAGCAGGTGTCCGTCAGGCATTGACAGCACTGGCTGCTTGCTATCCCCAGAGTCTCCGCTGTGTGGTGGGATGAGGACCCACAGGCTGTGTAAATCCCACCCAACACCAGTGGTACAGTCCACAGTCCACTACTGACACAGCCCCGATTCGATTTAGTACTGCACCCCGGAACAAGCCTCTTTCAACCACATGTAGGCTGGAGTCATTTTACTAATTACTATTGACAGGTATAAGGAAACCATCTAGAAAGCAGAGCAGTCTTGAAAAACCCTTCTAGTGTTATTTTATACAGTAGTTAATTAATTTGTTTCATCAATATTTCCTATCTTGGCATTATATTTTTGCAGTGTTTTAAAATGTCATAGAAACCACCGGATACCTGCTCCGCTCAGATGACCAGCGTGCCTACTGCTGTTCCCCAGACCTTGTACTGTAGATCAGCCAGCTGTTGACACTAGCTGAAAATTTACCACTGCTCGAGTAACGCTTGGTCTTGCTGAAGAGAGAAGAGTCAAACTTTAGTTTATGTTAGTTCTGCACGTCATCCATCCATGCCTTTTCTGACAGCTTTATCCAATATAGGATTGCAGGAGAGCTGGTGCTTAACCCGGCAGGCAACAGGCTTAAGGCA